ACCGTTAGAATTTCCGTTGCTGTTTTTTTGAATTCTCGTAGCAGTTGACTAGGTCATTGACCGTTACCATAGAAACGAATGCTTCTGTTCAGTGAAGAATTTTGATGATTTTTAAACTCGCCGTAACTTAATAAATATTTAAACTAGGACCTCCAAATTGCAAGGAAATTTTGCTGATAGGCTTCTGTCTCGAATATTGTTAAACTTTCGGAAGATTGATAAACCCACAGCCCGATGCGGGCCGATCGAACTTTATCGAAAATTGGTAATAACTTAAAAACTAAGGGTCATAGGACCCTCAAATTTTGTACCAGTACTCACTGTGGGTTAGCGAAGAAGACCCCGTCGACGGTTCCGCAAAAACGGTCTCCCTCTCCGGAAAATCGGACCCCGAAAATCCGAAGATTTCAGCTGGTCCTAACTCCCGAAATTATCGTCACAGATCAAAAATTCCGACTCCTTCGTGGTCCCCTAACTAAGACGAGTCCGACGATATAAGTGTTATTCCTGTACACGCAAAATTAAGTGAAAAAACACACTTTATCCAAGAGCTGATCTGAACACAACTTAACCAGGAAACGACTCAACGCCCTCTTGAGGGGGACAACACTGAGACGGGCACGGTGAACGAAACGCCAGTCTGCAAACTGTGTGTATTTGCCATCTCGCATGAAATGGTTGCTCTCACAGCAGGCACTGGTTACCTTGTACGCCTTGCTTTGGTCGGGCTTGCCGTGCAGCGAGAGCAAGTGGTTGGGGCGGACCAGACTACTTAGGGTGCCCACACAGGTTGACATTTTGGCGATGTTGCTGTTGATTGTGAGCAGGGGAGAACCCACTCCTGGAATCCATTCTATAGGGATGCGTGTCCGGAGGCGACGGGTGGCGGCTCTTAGCCTCGTCCAGACAGAGCGGATGTCAGTAGCTTTGAGTCCAAAGTCTTCCTCTGTTGACCCATTCAAGTAGGTGCAGACGTCTTGGAGAGTGGGTGAGCATCTGATGCGTTTCTGAACTATACTGAATAAGGCTTTGTTAGCTACAGAACTTACCTTGCTGTCCCTTGATTCCAACAGACGTATGGCATAGTTGACCTGGGCAAGGTCAGCCATAGTGCTGCATGGTAGGAAGTTGGTATCCCCTGATTGTAAGTTAGGTATAGGACCTCAGCACTAGCCTGCTGGGGGAGGTTCAACCATTGTTTGGCGTATCTTTTAAGGGTCTTATCAACCATGTTCATCTTTTTCTTGGCTGTGGTACCTAGCATAAGATGGAAGTTAAGTTTGGAAAGGATAAAGGTGTTCACTGCATCCACTTTCTGCCAGGGCGCAAGTTTGGAGGTATGGATTTTCTCCAGTTCCTGTAGGATGTTGTCAATTCACTTGGAAGATGTCCATCCTTTAGAGAAGCCTGTGGGGACCCCTAAGTAGCTGTAGAAATCTTCTGGTCCCAGCGTTGGTATGGGGGATTCCTTGATGGTGAGTGTCGCATTTCCGGTGGTGTGGTGTTTGCCCAGGACCGAAAGGTAGGCACATTCTGTGCATTGAGTTTGATGCTTGCCCAGTCAGCCCAGTTGATGAGGCTGGTGAGTTGTGAGTTGAGGTTGTCGGATGAGTTGCTGATGAGAACCACGTCATCAGCGTATACTAGGAGGCTGATATTGTAGTTGAAGAGGGGGTAGCCCGTACCAAGAGATTTGACCATTTGAATGCCTGTTTCTAAAATGATGTTGAATAAGATGGGGCTAATTGGGCAGCCTTGTCTTACGCCGGCTAGGACCGGGATTGGTTGTAGATACCCCGACGACGTGCGAACTCTGGTAGTGTAACCATCATACAGTGAACAGATGGTGTTGATTGAGTCCTGATGTAGGCCTAGCCATTTTAGGCATTTCCATATTGGGCTGTGGGGGATGGAACCAAATGCATTGGCGAAGTCAATCCATGCTATGTGGCAGTCCTTCCCGCTTTGGCATGCATCTTGTATTATAGTCTGCAGGATGAAGTTATGGTCGAGGCATCCTTCGTAGTTCAGGAAGCCCTTCTGCTCCGACGATAAGTGGTTGTTCTCAGTGCACCACCTGAGTAGTCTATCTGCCAGGCAGGCAGTATAGAGCTTCCCCAGGGTGGCTGAGAGGGTGATGGGCCTCCAATTTTCGATTATGCCAGGATCACCCTTCTTGAAAGCCAGAATGGTGGTGGATGTTTTCCATGCCTTCGGGATGTAGCCCGTACGTTGAACGGCATTGAAAACTGATGAGATGATGTATCCCTGTAGGTCTAACTTTCGCCAGTGATGGTACCGGATGTTATCCGGACCTGGGGCGGTGTTCTTCCCCTTTCCTAGACGGAATGCAACTTTTTTCGGTGAAAATGGTTGACATAGTGGGTTGTCAGAAGTGTCGATGTTATTGATGATCGGAACTGCCGATGTGTCATTTGTTACCTGGCTGTAGACTTTTGTTAAGTGGGCTGATATTTCTCGATCTGGGATTTTACAAAATTTCCTGCCATTACCAATTATGGCCTCGAAGTCTTGTTTTCTGTTGGTTCTATAGCAACGTTGGATCTGGCTTGCATCACTGATGAGTTCACTGTCAATGTTTCTGCTGTTGTTGCTAGAGTTGGAGTTGGATGATGTACGGAGGGTTAAAGGTTTCAGTCCATGAATACTATAGACGAGATTTGTTAGATCTTCCAGCATATTTTGTGGCATCTCCTCATCAATTGCCGAGTTAAACCTTTTGACCCAGGCACTAGTCCATGTGGGGACTTCCGTGTTAGTGGTGGTTGATTCGCTTATGCCAGTGTTGTCAGGCGGCCATTCGTTATGTGCACTCTCCTCTGCGGGCAGGCTCGTCAGTGGTTCTTGAGGTTGTACATCTTCCCCCGTCCGATTGGGTACTGACTCCCCAGGGGGACTCAACGGAAGGTGAGGTTGGTCCAGCTGGGTGTAGATGCCAGCTGATGGGAAAGGTGGTGGTGTGCACTCCTGGTTGCTACTGTGAGGAGTGGAGTATGCTATCCTCAAGTCCGGAGTTAGAACGGGCGAGTGGCGGGAGACGAAGGTAGATGTCTGGGTTTCATCCAGATTTGGCGTGCCTGTAGAGTGGGATGGGGGCCAGTGTGCGGTTTTCATTGCTGTTTGTCCTGCGCCCTCTACCAGTCCTCTGGTGTCTTGTAGGGTGGGGTGAGCTCCTGATTGTTTGTGGAGACCCGTTGGAGTCATCAGTCACATCGCTATCAGTGTGGTCTTCCTTGGTAGGTCTTGGCCTTCTTATGTACTTCTTCCTCGGCCTGGTGGGTATCCGTATAATCTTCCTGTCTTTGGGCACCGGCTGAGGGAGTGACAGAGCCTCGATGCGGCTGCGACATGTGCCAGACTTGAGCTGGTGAGCTTTTAAGGTTTTAAGCTTGTCCAGTATGAGATCGCATACCCTGCACTCAAAGTAGAGTGTTTTTCCGTGCTCACGTCTAAGGTTTCTTACGAGGCCTGTGTGGTCGATGTAGTTTCTAGGTATCGGAAGGCATAGTTGGCATCCATGCCAGAGGTGACGGTGTTGGAGTGGGACCAACACCGTTACCTCTGGCATGGTAAGATCAATGTGCAGGTATAGACGAAGAGAAAGGGGCTGAGGGCTCCTCAGGGTGCTGGGCAGCCAACTGAGAAGGAGCCATGCAGAAGTAAAGTCTAGGGCGGGAGCAGGCTCCTCCACTAGGGTGAAGAGATAGTGCGTCACTTGACACGGGGGTCCCGTGGCGCAGTAGTAGTAGTAGTAGTAGTAGTAGTAGAGTGCCGCTTGAGCAGCGAATACACGGCGCGTTTAAACTGTGCAGGCCGCTCTCCCAGCGGAAGAGAGAAGGGTATAGGAAAGAAAGTGAGTTACCAAAAAGTCTACTTACCTAGGCAGCTGGGGAGCAGGAGGTGGCTTGAAGTCCTTGGCGTGCCTAGAGACGGCTAATCCAGATGGAGCATTAAGCTGATTAGAACAGATATTCAATTTCGATCTTAGCCAGGTGCCAGGAAGCGAATACTACACTCAGATATAAAAAGCCTTTATTTAGAATCTAAATCAAAAATATACAAGTAGTAATTATTTAAAGAAAATCGTGCAATTCCGTGACATGGGCATGGTTTTGCCAACTTGGATGGTATAAGTGACATAGGATGGTTGTAGACTGGTGAACATGGGCTCAAATGCCAGACATATAATTACGAAGTAGTTACAAAGTTTTTGCGATATGAACAGGGATGTAAGATAACATGGGCTCAAATGCCAGACATATAATTACGAAGTAGTTACAAAGTTTTTGCGATATGAACAGGGATGTAAGATAACATGGGCTCGAATGCCAGCCAAATAATTACAAGTATTTTGTGATAAGAACAAAGATATAAGATAACATGGGGTCAGTCGCCTGCCAGAGATGTTACAATTGTGTATTTACAAAGAACTGCGGACATGGGCTCGTTTGCCTGCTAGATTGTGCGACAGAGGTGGGCCATTGGCCTAAGAGAAATTCAGTTGTTCGAGGATGGGAGTGGTGCCGTCTGTTGATGTTGTTGTTGTTGTTGGCGGTGGTCACCGATGTGCTTCCTGAAGATGTCTGCACTCCACCTGATTGCATCACTCACCATAAGTTTCTTCATGAGTCTTGAGTAGCTACGGCTGATCCCAAGTCGTTGTAGTGTGGCTTTGTTTGAGTGATCATAGCCACCCAAGGCTCCAATGATGAACGCACTTATATGTGTGTCATATCCCTGACGGCGGAAGTGACGAGCTAGAGAGTCGTATTTTTTAAGTTTTTCTTCTCTGGCTATCTGGAAAGCCGACGGACCATTCTCAAACGGGGTTGTTACATCCACGATGGTCGCCGATTTGGATTGCTCGTGGATGACAACTATGTCCGGGCGGCTTGTCGCTAAACCCAGGCACGCATTAGTTGACGAGAACCTTCGTGTCATTAGGTTTAAAGGCCGCAACAATTCTGTCAAGGATGGCATTATCCCTGCGAGTTACTAGATGGAGGTTGGGTGGGCAATGACAGTACGTGGGCTAGTGTCTCATGGGTGTACCCACAGTGCCGGCACTGTTTAGTGTCATTGCCATAGCGTTTGTGACCGCGGAGGGCCACAACACTCATGTGAGCCCGATGTATGAAGTACCAGTCGGCAAAGCTGGTGTACTTACCATTATTTAGGAAATGGTTGCTTGCCGCACTGGTGGTGGTAACTCCATAGGCTTTTCCTTGGTCTGGTTTTGTGAGGAGCCTCTTAAGAAAGAGATCCTTCATCAGACTACACTGGATCCTTTGGCAGTCGCTTGCCCGAATGATGGTGGTTCCTGCAGTGATGGTAGGCAGGTTGTCGGGCCCTACGGTCCAGGCGATGTCAATGCGTTTTCTGAGCCGTCTAGTGGCCATCCGCAATCTAGTCCACATGGAGGTGATATCAGTACTTGGTAGCCCGAACTCACCCTCCATGGAGCCGTCAAGGTAGCAGCAGAGGTCATCTGGGTTGGGGGTCCTCCCGATGTGCTTCCTGACGATGTCGTTGAGCGTCCCTATGGTGATCATGATGTTGGGGTCCTTGGCATTAAGCAGGTACATTGCATGTGCTATTTGAGCAATGTCTGCTAGCTGATTAGAGGGGGTGACATTTGTGCCCCCTGCATATAGGGGAGGTGGACAATTTCCGGGTTGGCGCGTAGTGGCAAGCCAAGCCACTTTTTGACACACTTCTTGGTCGTCCTGTCGATCTTGCTTAGCATGCTCTTGGGATTGGTGCCCGTTGTTAAGTTGAATGTGAGTTTAGGCATAATGAACATGTTGAGAGCGTCCACTTTTTGCCAAGATGCCAGTTTGGACAAATGCAGTTTTACTATCTTGTAGAATCCCCTCGATGGCTGCTTTCTCGGTGTCGCACCTACTAAACCCAGTTGGCATGCCAAGGTGACGGTAGGCATCGTTGTCGCCTAAAACTGGTAGCCTTTGTTGTTTGATGAAAAAGATGGTATTACTAGTAGAGTGTGACTTACCTCAAATTGTAAGTGTTCCATATTTCTTGTGATTAAAATGGATTTTAGCCCAGTCAGTCCACTTGACGATGGTATTTAGCTGGGATTGAAGGCCCTCTTCTGACCTGACGAGTGCAATGTCATCAGCATAGGCCAAGATGTCAATGGAATGTTGGTTGAGCAGGTAGCGTTCGTTTAGCTCTTGAATTTTCCAGATTGCAGGCTCCATTGCCAGAATGAACAATAGTGGGCTAATGGGGCCTCCTTCTGCGGGGCCGAGACTGAGGGGGCAATGGCGTTGGAGATCAGTCAACGGAGACTGAGTGGTCACTCTCGGAGATTGGCGATGAAGTCGTCTGTGACTGCCTGGGCGCATAGCGTTTCCTAGGTCTAGTCGGGATCCTACGTATGACTCTGTCCGTGGGAAGAGGTGGAGGAGGCGAGGTGGCTTCTATGCTCACCCTGCAAGCCTCTGATCGTGATTGGTGAGCTTTCATGGCCTTTAATTTTTCTAATATAAGTCCACATGCCCTGCACTCGAAGACTAGTGTCGTGTGTGTCTACGGATGCTGCCCTGGTCTTGGCCGGGCTTCTCCCGCTGCCCTTGGTGGTCAGCCAAGAGGCAGCCTTCTACAGAACTACAGTAGAAGGATTAGAGGCAACGCATTGTAATCAGAGGTACCCAGCCAGACTTAGGCAGAGAGTAGATATTTTCAAAATCCATCCGGCCCAACGGATTGGACTTGGCTGGGAAGTCGGTGAACTGACTGGTACGGGTGTTGAAATATACACCGATGGCTCAAAAGACGGCAGCTTAGTAGGTGCCGCATTCTGTGTTTTCTGTAACGGAGTGCAAGTGTACGAACAGTCGGTCAGATTGAATGAGGAGGCGTCCGTGTTTCAGGCAGAACTGGTGGCCTTAGGGGGGGGCGTCCCAGTGGATCCTATTACATCCGGGTCCAGAGCCGGTCACGGTTTACTCTGATAGCCAGTCGTCTCTACAGGCTTTGAACGATGGGTACCAATCAATCAATCATTTATTTAGAGGTACAAAAAAGTACATTGAAAATTGAAAAGCGAAATAGAAGCAGCAGGATTTTTAGCTCTGTTTTGGATTGAATTCTAATATTAAATATTAAGTGAAGTGACAAGTGTTATACAGTTTTTGAAATCGGAAGTCAAGAGGGTTCTATCGGTGTGTAGGTTTTTGAAATTGGATACTTCGTTGAAAAGTTATGACGTCTGGAAAGATATTCGAACTTAGCGATAAATTACTAATTATGTCGGCAGACAGACTGACGGGCTTCACGGTGTTTGAATCATATGTGTGCTGTAAGTACCTTTGCCAATTTCTGGAATTGTAGGAGTAACAGTTTTGAAGATTTCAACAACTTTCGGTAAAAATTCGACAAGTCATTGTGGGCTTCCTGCTAGTTATTTCCGAAAAATATTCGGTTGTTTATGAGAGGACATTAACTATTAACTTTGTGCTAAATTTCATCTCGATACACCTTATAGTTTTTGAATTATGGCCGTTCCATCAAATTTTCCTAACCTTCAAAATGTGTTCTATGGCGTAGCCATAGAAACGGTCATTGACTTTACTCTTATGAAGTAGCTGGAAACTTGGGTGAGTAGCGATTTTATCACTTATAATCGAAATAACAAGGAAGAAGGCAATGGCAAACCACTTCCTCAACTCTTGCCAAGAAAACTACATGGACAAGGAATTTCATAATAGAGATATAGTGTTGGAGGATGAGACCTTCGGGTTCGAAAGCACTCTAACTTCTACTGGGGACGAACAAGGAACTTCACTGACTAAGATTGAACATAATGGCATGATTAAGTCAAAGCTGAAAGGGAGTTTAATCATTGATGCAGTCAAACACGAAAAGAAAGTTCCAAGTTTCTTCAAACAACACATATTTGCAACATGGAATGTGAGAAGCATGTATGCTGGAAAACTAGACATAATTAAAAGTGAAATGACAAGAATAGGGATAGAAGTGTTAGGAGTCAGTGAGCTTAAATGGATAGGAATGGGACACTTTGATTCAAATGACTTTAGNATCTAACGGATTTTTCGAATCCATTTGTCCAGCAGTATCTTTAAAAAATAACGCGCTCGTTAAAAAAGTTTCCTGCACTTCTTTCGAATTAAATAGCAAGGCATCTAATATAGCGCGATACGGGTAATTAATTTGTGTAATCAATCAATCAATCAATCAATCAATCATTTATTTAGAGGTACAAAAGTACATAACCTGATCCCGCTTGATGCATTATCAGGTATTTATATAATAGTACGAGAACAAATTATAATTAAACATAAGATAATAAACAGTATGAAAAACAATTAAAAATAAAGTAGTATTGTTAACATATGATATCAAATATATTGGTTAAAGTAGAATAAAAATATATTAAACAGTTAAAATAGTTATGATCAAATTGAACTTAACAACTAAGGTCGAGCAGATGTCTGCTGTACAATTGGGCTCTTGTATTACAATAGAGTTTATTAAAAGGATGTTATCCTTAACAAGAAGTTTATGTAAATGCAATAACAATGCCCAAGTAATCAATTAATTTGCTGCAAGCAGTCTAAAGTTAATTATTGCAGCAGAATGCAGCAAACTCTGTCGTAGTTCAGAATGTTGAACTTTAGCTGAATAGTAGAGTTGCTATATATTCTGTCGATAACTCTACATATTTCACATGTTTTGGTTGAAGTATGCTCCCCTTCCTGAGACACCGTGTTTCCTGAAAATAGCATATGAAAGCAGCACATGTATAATTCAGTACACAACACAGACACATCGCATAAATTCTGTAGAATAGCACTTTCAAAGCTCATTTCCATCGAAGCATAACCCTGAAACAGTGAAGCACCACCCACCGAAGAACAGCACTTCGGTAAGCACTTCACATAAACTCTGTAGGACAACACTTTCTAAGCTCATCTCCATCAAAGAATATCCCTGGGACGGTGAAGCACCACAAACTGAAGTACAACACTTCAGTAAGCACTTCGCAATGAGGCACATCATTGTCGAAACACATCAAAAAGATCCAAATAAGCAATCACACTGTAGGCACTCACGAAGACATATTTGTTGTTGGAGCACATCAATAAAAGGTAGAAGCCATTACTGTTAAGACCTCACACCAACTTTACATCCAATGGGTAAATCACTTGTCAAAGAATAACAAGAGGACGCTGAGTAACAGCCACTGTAACATCTTCATACCAAATGGGTATCACAGTGAACATGGTGGAATATGGATGTTCCATAGGTGGAAACACCACCCATGGAACATCACTCCACACCATTCAAGCACAACATTACAGAAGCAATACGTTATATGGGCGAATCCTGTTGAAACACAAGCCTATCAAAGCACAGTATAGGTAGGACAACAATTTAAAACAAAACACAACTGGTGTATACACATGAGATGTGAACAAAGCACCTTTGCAAGGATAGTTCAAAATAATTGTGAGAATTTATCCTTGTAAACCTAAATTCTGAAGATATGCAATATACGTAATGCAATTATTGAGAGGTAGACATTAAGTAACCATAATAAATATATGAGTGAAGCCAATATACACAAGAGGTAACCGATATAAATTATGAGCAGCATTGCAGTATATGCAGAAGTGAGTGGAGCAGCATGAGCAAGATACAATTAAACAAAAACAATAAAAATAAATAAATAAATAAAGGCATTAACGTAAAGAGATGAACAAACTATAATAAACCAATGCAATTGAAAATTAATTATGTATGAGTTGATGGTTAATTGTAATAATTTGTTTAGCAAGTTTAAGAAAAGCATTATAAATGTTTTTACTACTCCAAATATCCGAGAGTTTACATGGCCAGCTAATTCCATTCTCTTCCATCACTATTTTCGATTCTAACCTTTCTCTTTCAAACATAATACAGTCGTAAAAATAATGTTTCGAGCCATCCATAGCAAGACAAGTTGGACATTCATTTGACGGCCTGTTTGTGAACCTGGCTAGGTAACAGGCAAACTTTCCATGATTAGTAAATAATTGCGTTGTATAATAATTAGGAAAGTACCATTTCAAATTATAAAAGTATCGTATGTCAGGTATATATTCATATGTAATATGGTTACTGTTTTCATTCCATTCATCTTGCCATAAGCAAAGAGTATCGTTCCACAAAATACGACGTAATGTGTTTTGGCTAAGTTTGTTATAAGATATCGGCAGAGAGAGATTTTCGGCGGGTACCATCGCGATTCGCTGGTACACGAGATCAGATGCAAGGTGCTGAGGGCGAGGCATGAGCGACAAGTTACCCTGTGTTGGGTCCGAGGCCACACCAGGATCCTGGGTAACGAGCGTGCCGATCAGCTAGCAAAGGCGGGAGCTAGCGGTCCTTTTATAACGAGGATGGTTGAACCTTCGGCTATTTATATTAAAGGTACCTTGCGGAAACGATCAATGACCATCTGGCAAGAGCGCTGGAATCAAAGTACGGTAGATAGGTCAACCTACGCCTTCGTGCCTGTAGTTGGCCTCGCTCTGGTGTGCTGCAATAGGCTCACGACTCAATTAGTGACCAGCCACGGGAGGTTTCCCCATTTCAAGTCCCGTTTCGGGCAAGGAGATGGTAGCTGCTCCTGTGGGAGTTCTTGCGGGGACGCGAGACATTACGTACTTGACTGTCCTCTTACTGAGGATTTCCGCCGAGGGGCCGACCAAGTCGACTGGTCTCGGCCGCCTGAACAAGTACTTCGAACGCTAGCAGCTAGTAAAGGAAACTTAATGAAATTAAAGGAATTGATGGAAATGATCATAAACTTATGATCTAAGTGCCTAGTGGACGCACTGGGTTGGGCCCCCTCTTCTTGTAGGGAACGGGACCCCGCTGTCCGAAATACATCCAATGAACGAAAGAACTATTAATTAGTCGGTGTAACAAATAATTAGTCAGTGGAATAAAATGCAGTATTAGCTGCACAACCTAAAACTATGTCACGTTAGCGAGCTAGGGCCTAGTTCCGCGGACGGGAAACCGGACATTCAACAGGGCCCAAAGCTTTGTCATTTAAATGTTTTAGCGGCAGAATCGCCGTAAGTCAATCACGAAGGAAAGACATAGTCTCTCAACCCTGTGGTGCCAATCTGGCGGGGCAGGGAAAGAGATCCCTATCCGGGAAACGTTCCTTAAGAGACTAGTGTCGTGCTATGCTCTCGCTTCAGATGTTTCACGAGGCCAGCGTGGTCACTATACTCTCTTGATATTGGCAAACATATTCTGCATCCATGGGAGGGTGCAAAGACACCAGTAGAGTCTCCCTTGTCATGGCGATCAAATGCGTAGCGATAGTGGTAGGGGGAGGAAATAGGGGCAGAAATGCCTCCTGGGGTGCCTGGGGCAACCAACCAAGAAGAGGAACAAAGGCTACTGCTTAGGCAAGCCCGAGCAGTATAGGAAGTACATGTAGCATCGTCAACCTGGTTGATGCTGCCACAGAAAAGTGGTTGCTGGTCAGGCAGTGAATACACTGTGCGTTTAAACAGTGCAGGCTGCCCTTTCAGCGGAAGTAGGAAGAAGGATAGGAAAGCAAAAAAGGTCAAAAACAACTTACCAAGACGTCGGGGAGCAGGTGGCTCGAAGTCCGATGATCATCTGGATGAAGCAGGAGTTAGCTTAATACGGGATAATTAAGCTGATAAGAACAGATTTAAAAAGCCTTTATTTATATCAAAAATTAAAAATATTACAGGCAAAGTATAGGCAGTGATGAAATATACACGTTGTGTAAGTACACAGTGATGAGTGGGCGCAACAAGGGCATAGATTTTAGCCAAATGTACAGGTTTTCAGAGTATAGACATGGGCACAGTTGCCAGCCAGTTGAATACAATATAACAAGAGAAAAGTGAGTGTGACATGGGCACGCAAAGTGCCAACACGTAAGACAAAATGTTAGAGTCGCGGACATGGGCACGTTTGCCAGCTAATATGAGAATAGTAACAAAATAGTAACAAAATTGTAAGGTTACAAAGTGAAATTATACAGTTATATTCAACGCGATTACACGGGCTGTTATTGCCTGCCATATGGAGGTACAAAAGTGGTGTTTGGACGTTGTTGCTGTTGTCGTTCTGGCTGTGGTGGTTGATGCGAACGGTCTCCCAGGTGTTGCCTGTAGATATTACTCCACCGTATCGCATCGCTTACCATTAGCCTCTTCAGCATGGCCGTGTAATGTCTGTTGATGCCTAGACGTTGGAGGGTGGCTTTGTTTGATGGATCGTACCCTCCAAGTGCACCAATAATAAATGTCCCAAAGAATGTGTTGTATTCCTTCCTCCGGAGATGGTTGACGAGGTTACGAAATTTTCGCTATTTTTCCTCTCGCGCTGCTTCAAATGCTGGGAGTCCATTTTCGAACGGTGTTGTGACGTCCACGATGGTGGCGGATTTGGAGGCCTCATGGAGCACGACAAGGTCCGGTCTAAGGTTCTCTGCGAAGCCCGGGACACGCTGGTTAACGAGGATTGTAGCGCCCCTGGGCTGGATGGCATTGACAAGTCTGTTTAGTACCGCGTTATGCCTTTGCGTGATAAGCCTAAAGTTAGGCGGGCAGTGACAACACGTGCGACAGTCTCTCCCGGACGAAGCCACAGCGGCGGCAGGCTTTAGTTTCGTTGCCGAAACGTTTGTGGCCTCGCAGGGCAACAACACTCAGCCTGGCGCGATGTATGAAGCGCCAGTCTGAGAAGCGAGTGTATTGCCCATTATTCAGAAAATGGTTGCTTACATCGCTTTTGGCCGTGATTTTAAAGGCCTTGCCCTCAGCAACTGGCGCCTCATCTGTCTCTCAAACACGCTGGGTAAACTCTACACAGCGTGTCTTGCTGTCAGACTTCTCAGCTGGTGCACTGCCAACAACCATATCTCGCCCTCCCAGAAGGGCTTTCTTAATTGTCAGGGCTGTCTGGAACACAACTTTATTCTTCAGTCCGTGATCCAGGATGCCAGACGGGCCAGAAAGGACGCCTTCATCACATGGCTAGACATA